GTTTTCACATCCATGTGTTCAAGTTCAAGATTTAGACTGGCAACCAACCCGAGTACAACTCGGATCGACATCATCTTCACAACCGGCGAAAAAAATCTCATCAAAGTCAATTCCCTGTTTTTGTTGGAATCCTTTGACCACGAGTCTTGCCTTGTGTTTCACAATATTACCATTGACATCTTTCTTCACCTTGAAAACCCATTTGTTTTTCAAGGCTTTCTTTCTTTTGGAAGTGGCACCAAGTCATAAGTTTGGTTCTTCTGCAAGAATTTCATCTTATCTCCCATGGCTTCCCACCAATTGGACTTGTCTTGATGAGATTGAGCTTCTTGAAAGCTCTCTGGCCCCCCTCGCTGGTAAGAAGGATCCATTCAGATGTCGGGTATCTTCGTTGTGGAACTGTACCTCGCGTAGAATGTCGAAGTTGAGTGCTGTCATCAAGGCCTTCATGTGAAGGCTCCCCCTACTCAGGAACTTCATCATCTTGAGCATCATCAACATCTACTGGGCCATCGTGCACTTGTTCAGTATTATCATTCACTTCCTCATTGTTGAGAGGAACATGTGATACTACAGGAACATCTTCAGGAGCATGTTGTTTGTTGTGTGTTGAAGTAAACTCATGAAATTGGGATTCATGAAAAACCACATCTCTGCTTCGAATGACTTTCTTCATTTCGGGATCCCACAACCTGTATCCAAATTCTTGATCTCCGTAGCCGATGAAGATGCATGGGTTTGACTTAAGATCAAGTTTTTGCCTCAACTCCTTAGACACATGTGCAAATGCCTTGCACCCGAACACTTTCAAGTGAGAGTAAGAAATGTCTTTTCCTGACCATTTCTTCTCAGGAGCTTCAAAGTTTAAGGGAACTGAGGGTGACCTGTTTATAAGATAGCAAGCTGTTAGCACAGCTTCGCCCCAGAATGGCTTTGGAAGTTTAGCCATATAGAGCATGCACCGAACTTTCTCCACGATAGTTCGATTCATTCTTTCGGCTACACCGTTGTGTTGTGGGGTCCGTGGCACTGACTTCTCATGTCTGATTCCATGTTCAGCACAATATGTTGAGAATTCTCGAGAAGTGTACTCGCCTCCATTGTCAGAACGAAGGCACTTCAACTTCTTTCCTGTCTCTCTTTCTACCATAGTATGAAATATTTTAAAGCGATCAAATACTTGATCCTTAGTTTTGAGACAGTGAGCCCATACCTTCCGTGACGCATCATCAATGAATGTCACAAAATATTTGCTACCTCCAAGTGACTCCTCTTCAATGGGTCCACATACATCAGAGTGGACAAGGCTGAGTAACTCAGAATGATTTTTTCTAGTGGAACTGAAAGAAACCCGGTGTTGTTTCCCAAATAGACAGTGTTCGCAGGGGTCCAAAGCAACATCTTTGTCAATAGAAATTGCTTCCTTCTTTGCAAGAGTTGTCAGTCCCTTCACGCTCATGTGGCCTAACCTCTGGTGCCACAAATTTGGTGATGTCTCTCCTTGAACAGCATTGAGACTTGGACGACACAACTTTACATGGGTTTTGTAAAGAGTACCACAAATATGACCTCTTGCAATAATCATAGAGCTTTTAGATAATTTCCACGTACCTTCTTTGAATTGGCTTTCATACCCCTGATGATCCAGAGCAACTCCTGAGATAAGATTCAATCTCAGATCTGGAACATGCCGAACATCTTTCAACACAAGTGTGCAACCAACACTTGTTTGAATGTGCACATCTCCAATGCCAACAATGTTTGAGAAACTTGTATTTCCCATCTTTACAGCACCATGGTCTCCGGGATTATAAGTTGCAAATAAATTTAGGTGCGGAGTGGCGTGAAATGATGCAGCGGTATCAATCACCCATTCAATATCATGCGTACCTATATGTAGGCATGCTTCTTCTCCGCAAGTAACAAGTGCAATGTATGGTGCCATGGTGACCATGGTCTCACCATCTTCTTTGCTTGAACTTTGACTCGTCTGAGGCTGCTCCCGTAGAAACTTTCGGCACTCCCTCTTTCTGTGCCCATAATGACCACAATGGTTGCAATAGCCCTCGAACCAAGTATTGGTATCGACGAACTTCCCCCGCTCTTGTGATCTTCCTCGAACTTGAGATCTCCCTCTACTTTGACCTCGAGCTCTGCCTCTGCCTCGACCTCGTCCTCTACCTCCATTTCTGCCTCCCCCTCGCCTGCTGGTTTCTGAGACGAGAGCATAAGACTGATCAGTCCTAGCTTCCTTCCTTCGTGCTTCCTCATTCATCAAGGCGTCTGTGACCATCTGCATAGTCACGGTACCATTTGGGACAGAATTACTGAGAGTAACAACAAGAGTCTCCCAATTATCAGGTAGAGAGCTAAGTAGAAGTATTGCTTGTTCTTCATCTTTGAGGACCCATCCAATGGTGCTCAATTGGTTCACAAGATCCTGGAACTGACTCGTGTGTTCCGACACAGAAATGCCACCACGTAACTTGTGGTTCACTAATCGTCTCATCAACAACGTTTTATTCCTAGCAGTTTTGGCTTGGTACATGCTACTAAGTTTCTCCCATAGTGTGTGAGCACTTTGCTCTTGAGAAACATGATGAAACACGCTATGATCAATCCACTGTCGGATTTGTGCGACAGTTTTTCTGTTCATCTTAGCCCATTCTTCATCCATCTTTTTATCTGGTTTAACGCCATTATTATCAAGAGGATCAGCTAAATCTTTCAAATTTAGCAAATCCTCCATCCGAGGTTTCCACATGTTGTAATTCGTGGAAGTTAGCGCAATATGGTATCCGATGATGATTTTTCCATGATAAAGTGTACAATTTTTCCCGTACCTTAACTTGAAAGCTGAATTATGCCCAACGGAGCACACCGTTGAATCCGGAATGACCAAAAATGGTGGGAACCGGTCTCACCTCTTCAAGAACCGGCCAGAAAGGGTGTGAACCGGAGTGTTGAACCAAGAACCGAACCGGACCGGTTCTGGCCAAAACCAGAGGGCAGCCAATCAGGCTGATGACGTGGCACCACATGGCAGTGACGTGTCCATGACGTGGCAGCTGACGTGGCACCGACAGGTGGTCCAATCGGCCGGTCGTCGGTGACGTGGCAGATGACTTGACGCTGACGTGTCGATGACATGGCGTGACCTGGTGATGACGTGGCTAGATGACTGGTCGTCTTCTCCGGTGAGGTTGCTGCCGGACTGGAGTACTGCAGTGGCTTGACTGGCAGGAGAGGGAAACTTTGACCGGAAGTTTGGAGGCCTTCCGGTGCTAAAAAAATTCCGAAAAATATATTTTTGGAATCCTCAAAACGAGAGCTTTCTAATGGTAACCTCAAAACAAGATTCTGGAACAAAAATTTTTGACCAAAAATTCGAGTAAAATGGTGAAATCTGGATTTCTGGACTAAACTGGCTCTGATACCACTTGTTAGGATTGAAAAATTCTTCTATTCATAACCAGAAAAGAATTACAATAGGAGGAGCAACTCTCTCACTCAACTATTACAAAAAACCAACCCTTTCATACACTCACTATATGTGTATCACTCTCACTACTTTTCTCTCTGATTTTTTATGCCTTTGAACAATGGAAGAGTAGTCTATTTATAGGCAAGGCTGGAGACATATTCATTTGGTACCCATGCTACAACCCATACTACAACTCATGCCTCCTCTCCATGCCTCTCCATGTTTCTCTTCAGTGGGCAGGAGATGGAAGACCATCCCATGGTATGGAGGATGGAGTGAGCTTGCTGGGAGCTGGAATTCTACAGCTTGCTATAAAATTGATTATCATTCATTAAAATTGTCTTTGATATTTTCCATTTCTCAGGAATTGTTTTTATGTGTAAAACTTAATGCATATTTGATAGACACAAGTCCCAACCTTCCATCTTTTGTAATATTCAAAAAGTTTCTAAAAACTTCTAGTTCTATACTTGTAAGTTTGTCATGAAAATTTCTAAGAGCTTTTCTAAAAATAAGATTTTTTTATATGCTACATGGAGTAGCATTTAAGAAAAGTTTATATCTGTTAGCATTAATTAATTGCAACAGTCTGTATACAAGTAGAACTAAATCAAACGGTTGACTTTTTACCAAACAACTATCACATTTTCATTTTAATGTCTTTTGAATCACTAAAATCTAGCCGTTATTAAAAAACTCATAAATATATCTTTTAGTCTACCAAGTAATAGTTTTACTAATGTCACACTTTTGTCCCAACTGTCATGATTTTGTTGATTAGTAATACAACCATATACGAAGTTTATTCCCAAAGGAGTAAGGTTTTTTTTTTGTTTTTTTTAGTAAACAACCGAATCTATAAATTGTTCACTAATACTTAAAATAATTGTACGACACAGTCAAATAATCAAAGTCAAATACAAAAAAGAAAAGGGGCAAATAAGCATTCGAATAATTAATGATTCTACAATCAGCCTCCTGAACGAAAAAACCTTGCAAATACACCCTCAATCCACTGAAATAAAGCAATCACGTATTTTTTTACGTGCAGGTGTCGGTAAGGAGGTAATTTTTTCATGAGAAATTAGGGACACTAGTAGATAAAAAGAGCTTGATTGGTTGACTTCAACAGATTAAGAGATGTATTTGAAAGATCTTCCAATTCAAGAGTCTGATTGAATAACCCCTAATAGTTTGAGAATTTATTTCCCCTTTTCTCGATACAAAAAGCTAACAATGTCTGTCTACCGATCACCCATTTCGACTTTAGACTTTCCAGTCCGTTTGAGTAATCCGGCCAGGCTGTGAAAGTGAAAAGAAAAGTTGGACCAAAAAATCATTTTTTAATTGGGACGGGCCGGTTTTGTAACTTCAATCCAGATTATCCGATTCCTGCTTGATATTCACTCCATAATTGCGCAATAACGTCCGTAAGGGTGTAGCTGGCCCAATTTACTTGAAGCCCAAGCCCAGTATTTAATCGTGTTGCGTAAGAACGGCAAGATTTTAAAAAGGAGAAATCTTTACGCTCCGCATCCTAAACTCCGATCAATTCTGTTCAATTCCAGGATTTCCGAACAGTCGAGAGCATGGGAGGCCACGGTGGTCTGAATATTCTCCCGCAGAAGCGATGGAACGTCTACAACTTTGACAATCGCGAGAAAGTCCGGCTCGACGAGGAAGCTGCGGCTCGGGAAGAGCAACTCAAACGCGAGGATGCTCATAAGCGTGATATGGAATTACGCCTCGAGAAGCTCAGGCAAGCGCGTGGATTAGCATCCGCCTCCACCAACGAAACCCCTAAATCCTCTTCTTCCGAATCGAGATCCGAAACGATACTTAAGAACGATTCGAACCACGTGAATTTGTTCGAAGGAATTCGGATATTCGACCCGATTGAAGAGAAAGATGCATCTAAAGACCAAAGGCCTGCCAAGAAGGTCAAAAAGGAACAGCCTCCGAGGGTTGTGACCGCAGAGGATGAGAAGTATAAACTAGGATATGGATTTGTTGGGAAAGGAACTAAATTGCCTTGGTACATGGAAAATCCGACCAACAAATCTGCTAAAAAGAGCAATCATGATGAAGAAAACATCGTGATGCCTGTTGAGAAGAAGAGCAATGGCAAGAAGACAGTTGAGGAGTTGCGGAAAGAGCGGTTAGAGAGGGAGAAGCGAGAGAAACATAGACAAAGAGCTCTGCTAATGGAGAAGAGCCGCAAAGATGGAGGGTTCTCTAAAAGATGATGAGGTGTGTACCATAACATCAAGGTTATTTTTCAAAAGGCAATTGTTGGTTCAGTATCTGTTTATTTTTGGATTCAAATGGGCCTTTTCTTTTCCAGATCGATGTTAGTGCTCTCAATGTTCTAGAATAGTTGAGTTTTAATTTTATGTTGGATAATAGAGATATAATAAGTATTAACATGGCACAATTTTTTAACTCCAGCCCTTTTGTACTTTCCAATTGTTCTGATGTATTTCAAGTCTCAACTCTTTAGACTTTAGATAACAGTTTTACGCATAGTACACTTGTTAATGTTCTATTTGTGTTTTAGTGTAGAAATTTTTGGAAAATGATATATCTTCTTCTATTTTCATTCTTTAAGATGTGGATCATATTTCTTGTTTGTTTTCACTACTATCATATTAATTGGTCAGTGATATTAAGCCTATGCCGTATCATATCATCTAAACTGTTTTAAGTACTACTTCCTCTGTTTTTTAGTTTAGCTCATAGGATTTTCATGGAATTTAAGTGTAAAACTGTAGTGCATAGTGAATAGCATATTCCTCGTGCAATAACCACATTTGTACTAATCTTCTCTTACTTTTCTCACGATAAGTGTGAATTTCGGCCTGGAAACTGAACTATATTGTCAACAATGCTGCTGACTGACTTAGTGATTGGAATATATGTGGTATATTCCAATTGAATACATAATTGAATTGCAGTGGCATGCTTTGAGATGTTTGTTTTATAACGTTTTCACTATTCCTTCATAACTATGGATTTTATTTTTATTTTTGAGAAGAGGTTTTATAGGATGGTAAATGCCAGCAAGCTCTCTCTGGTCATGGTGAAGGATAATGGTGACCGTCACGTGTTTACCTGTTCACGTTGCCTGAAAACTTAGAGATTGGTACGTTAACCAGTTAAGAGATGAGAAGTTCATAGTGCCATTTTCGGTAAGACAAGCCAGAGTATGCAGGTAGTAATAGTCGAGCTATTAAAAACTATATACTCTTTGATTTTTGATGATGTTCCTTTGGCATGCTGACTCTAAGACTAATATGCCCTCTACATTGGCTGACTGCAATCTATGGTATATGTTGTTAATTTGTATCAATCAGTCAAAGAGACAAGGATGAGTTTGAGTTGAATTGGATAGCTTGACTAAATTAGTTCCATGATTCTATTATGGAATCTGCTTCTCGGAGTATATTTTTGAAGTAACTGTATAAAAACATTGCAGATTTATATTCTTTAATTTTTCGAGAGTTACACTAGAAAGGCTCTTGTTTTCAATTTTTTTGGCCCCAAAATAATAGTTTACTTTGGCCAAAAGAGGATGCAATTTCTTGTAATTTACTCAATAATAATTTCAAAATGAGTGATAAACAAGTTACAATAAGTGTACTTGATCTTACAAATAAAGTTTAATTATTTAACTAGGATATACTACGAAACGTACTAGTTTGAAAGGCTCGTTAGAAAAAGCTACAGAAGTACTGTATCAGCCGTTAGGCAATGTTGACACTAATAAGAGTATGAGGTTCAAGTTCTTTATCTGAAGTTCCGGACAGCTCTGTTAATGGCTGCTGGGGTTGCTCTTTCATTCTATAATGGTTCTTCTACTGCTTTTCTTTTGTGTGAAGCTGCAAGATGCGCAGATCTATTTGTGACTGTTTTCTCTGTTTGCTTTGTTCTTTTGTCTTGTTGATTTCCCTTTTTGTTTTGACTTTCTCTTCTCTATTTTCTCATTCGGATTTTTCTCGCGTATGTTATTTTGACTTTCTTTCTTCTTTTACCATCATTTTTTTGGTCAATCTGTTGTTTGGTAAGAAACTTTTGCATTTTGGACCAGACACAATCCCTTCCCATTTGCATGTGAGTTTGTTACGTGATAAGACTAATCCATATAGACATCATATGTAGAAGTCTCAAACACTTTCAGCAGCTAAAATGTGTCTAAGATGACGTTTATCTGGGTGCAGACAGAGCCTAGGTTTCTGATAAGCCTTGCTCACTCTATTAAGCATGTCAGATGAATTGGGAGCCAGTCACTGTTAGATCAAACAACCTGAAACCAGATGTGAAAGTAGATCATTCCCCATTTGCTCATTAATCCACTTAAAAATTGAGATGAGGTATAAAACACAGAGATAGAACCTACACGATGCAGAGTTGAGAGAAGCAACCGTATGTCAGCTTCCTTGCCAGTTGACCATAACCTTATCTTTTCATCTAGCACCTCCATTTCCATCTGCACTTTTTGAAAGCAAAATTATGTTCTCAGGGTTCTCAAAATTTTCATATCACCTGTTGTTTCAAAAATTCTTGCTTAGTTGCAAAGCCATTTTATAATCCAAAATACTACGTATTAAAATACAAACTAACATGTACATTTTCCGCTGTCCCCATATTAGATTAATCTTTTAGGATGAAACTTCATGTGTTAATATGCCATTAGATTAATCGTTTAAAACATTGAGTTCAATGTAGATTATTGACAGAAAAACAAGAATGCAATATTCAAGCTGGACGTTGTTTGATGGCAAGATTGCACAAAATGTTGACCAGTGTATACCATAACATTCCAACGCTAACACAAAAGATGAAATACTCAGTAGAGGGTCGAGAATATGGAATCTTACATTAGTCTCAAACTTCTGGCTTCCTTCTCCCTCTACACGCTTGTGGACTTCCTGTGCCTGCAGAAGTGGGTCAGGAAAGATGATGTGAAGAAAAGCCACAATCTAAAAAACAATGTGAACTATGTACAATTTTGAAGTGTTTCAAAAGGACAACTACTTGAGTTATTTACCGCTGTTGCTTTTGTAAACTCATTCTTATCATTTTGCTCATCAGAAGACTGCATTGTGATCAGCATGTCTGCAAAATATGAATTATCTGATTGCTCTTTCTCATCTGGAGCCACTTGTGAAATATTCTCAGAGCAGTGCTCATGAAATTTCTCTTTTGCCCAAGCAATCGAGTTATCCACACCAGTCTTTTCATTATTTACTTCTCTAAATCTGCTCCCATTGATCTCAATAACATATAACCTCATAACTTCATCTTCCTCGTCTTCTTCTGAGTTCTGACACTTCTTGATCTCTCATTGTTCATCATGTTATTTTTAGGTATTGTTCTCTTACTTCTACAATAATAGTTTCTCTAAATATAAAAATACTCTAAAGATTTTTTCTTGATACTCTGTATGCTAGTATAAGGCTTTATCGATTGGAGATTTAAAGTCAATGGAGAAATCTTTTCGCTGGTATAAGGCTTTATCGATTTTTTATTTAAAAAATTCTACAAGCACATACCCAAAATTTAAGAGCCCGTTTGGAGACCTCTTTTTTCGGCTTATCAGGCTTATCAGTCAGTTTTTTCACCAAACACGTAACTTTACTTTCGTGTGCTGAATTGTGTAATAAGCAGAAAAAGTAAGGTTGAAGTTATTTTTATGGCTGTATTGGCTGAAGTTACTGCAGAGGACCATTTTAGCTATTTTTACATGTAATTTTTTCTTTAATTTATTAATAAAATATATTTTTAAAATATTTTTTTCTTGAATTAGCAGAATCAGCTAAAAAAGTCACTTCAGCTAGAACTTCATAAATTTCAGCAGAATCAACCAAAACAGCCGATTTTCATGCTACCAAACGGGCTCTAAATATGCATACTCTCGGTCTACACAATGAGCAAAATAAATTAGATTTTATAATTCAAGTACTCTAGAAAAACATATTGGTAAACTGAAACTTAAGAAATGACAAATAAAAAAAACTACGTATTTAATAATTTTTTTTAGAATTTTACCAAATTACTAGAACATAAGGAATCTTATCAAATTAAATTTATTATAATTAAAATCTTGGATAACCTATTCTTGATTAACTAAAGTGCGGTTAATCAAATAGGAACATATCGATCCTTAAGATCGTGTTTAGAAAAATGATCTACTTCACCCCTTCCCTTTTACAAAATCTTCCCCACTTCGCAACTCCCAAACATACCTAAGAATCGATCAACATAGCTAAGTTTTTTTCTACTGTGGGGAGCTAGTCAGCAAGAGACTTTTGACTACTTTCAATAATAACGAATGAATCAAACTTTGGACGAAGTCTCCGTCTACATCTTGGTCGCCGTTTATCATCGGAGAAGATGAAAAAATGGAGAATAAAGAAATGACAAAGCACTTTGAATTCCCGCCGGTTATCCTGTCATCCGGTTATCCTGGAAGTTAGGAGTTCAATTCCCGCCAGGAGCAATTTCAATTCTTGTATTCCCTTCCCCCCGGACCCCCTAACCCCCCAGTGGTGGACTCGGGCCGGGTGGCCCGATCTGGAACTGGCCCGGGATCAGCACTGTTCCGGCCAGGTTCGAACCGGTGGCCCGGTCAGTGACCGGTCCGGGTAGGCCCGACCCGAGGGGTTTCCGGTTCGGGCTTGGGTCACCCAAAACAAGGCCCAGCCCAGCTGGGCCCAGTTCTGGCCAAATTGATTTTTTTTTGTTCTTTTTCATTTGTTTGGGCTCGGTTTGGGTTGGGCTTGATGTTTAGGAGGGGTTTGGGGGTTTGGGGGTGGGCGTTGAGGGGGTCAGGGATAGGTAGGTAAGCAAAAAAAATAAAATAACCAAGCCCGAGGCCTAGCCCGGCCCGGTCCCGGTCAACCTATTCAGACCTGTCGACCCGCCCGGACCTAGGCTGGACCCTGACCCGACCCGACCCGAATCCACCCTACCTCCCCCGACCCCAGGGGCACCCCAAAAAAAATGGAGAATAAAGAAATATCACTAAAGATTAATGAGAGGCTGCGAAAAGAAAATACCGCCGCACTATTGCAAGTTTGCAACTCTGGTTCTAGTAGCACTCTTATGGCTACTTACAACGTATATGTCCAAATGATCAATCCACCAGTAATGACACTTCAAGAGCCACATTTAGCCACTATTAAACAAGTATTTTTGTCTAAACTCTTCATACTCTTATTTATCTATTTTAGACTTAAGTGCACCAATACATTTTGGTCGCATATTGAAAGTGTACCTTACCTTTCAAGCCTCATAACGGATGACACCTGCTAAAAGTTACATTTATACATTTACAAAAAGTTATACACTTTCAAACATAAAAAATCTAATTGCGTATTTCTTAACTTTCCCGTATTCATTGAATTTACAATACAATTATGTTTATCACTACATAGAGGTTCTCTTTGTCCTCTATTTTCCATAATCAAATGGAATGAAAAACCAATTTACCGATTTTATATAGCCCAATGTGAACATTCTTAACTGAATTAGATTGTGAATTTAATTCTGGTTTGAATTATCGTTTGCTTTAGTGCGATTCGTTTACATTTGGGCATGTACATTTTTTAAACAATTTTAAGTAACCATACAATTTGATACACCTTTTTAAAAAATTCTGCATATTTTTTAATTCTTGTGAATTTATCCCTGATGGGGTATCATTTGTCTGAGAACACCATTACTGTGAAGAAGAGACAGTTTGGGTAAATGAGCTTTATTGAAGATTAGAAGCAGCCAAAGCTTGGGATACATGCATCAACATCATTTCTCAAAAAAAAAAAAGTGAACACTGAAGCGCTAATCCCATCATCTCAAGCCTCAGTAACAATTAAGCCCTCCCACTCACTCTATATTGACCTGGAAAACGTCTTTCCTTTCTTCCTGCTTCACCTTCGGAACAGCTACCTTCAACACCCCATTCTTCATCTCTGCCTTAATGGAGTCGAGCTTGTATAGATTCGGTGGAATGTCCAGCCTCGTTGAATACCTTCTCCGTCCGTAATCCTCTCCATCGTTCTTCTTTGCCTCCTCTTCCGCCAACTCACCTTTAATCAATAGCGTGTTCTCCTCCACGCTGACCTTGACGTCGCCCTTGTCCAGTCCTGGCATGTCCATCTTGATGTAGAGCGCGTTCTCATCCTCTCGCACATCCCAACCCCTCCTCGGCGCGGCTGCAGGGCCAAACCCACCGAACGAAGCGGCGAGCGGATTCTCAAGGAATTGATCCATCATGTTCAACAGCTGGCTTACGCTCCTCGGGGGAGAAAACGGATCGAACGAATCTGCAAAAACACAACAAAAAAAATCACACCATATTTCTCAACTGAAACCTAAGTACCAAAATTCGGAGTAATACGAAGGAAACCAAAGGAATTTTTAGGAGAAATTGGAAGAAAATACGAACGGTACTACTTGCCTGAAAAGGCGCCAGGGAAAGAGTCGCGGCGGCGAGAGAGAGATCGACCTGAGCGTCGTTCAACGTCGACGTCGCGGTCATCGTCCTCGTAGGCCGTCATCTGAGCATTGGTGTTGAAGGATCTGAAAACAGAAGGAGCGGCGGCTGCCTGGCGCGCAGGGTTGACGAACTTGTTGAAAAGAGCAGATGTGGTGGCGGCAGCTCTCCTAACAGCCATTGAAGAAGCCATAGTACTCTGTGATATTAAAATGTGAGGAAATTGAATCGATTTGAGTTGCTTAAGTGCACAGTGAACTTTCAATTCTCTTTGAGGTAGTTTGAAATAGAATGGCACGCTGTTATATACTGGAAGTGAATAGCGGATGGTGGCTTGGGGAAGGGGATGATGATAGTTCCAGAGAGTTTGAGAGTAAACGCTGTAGAATGTTCGGTTTCCTATAGATGGTTCTAGACGCAAGCGGAACATAACAGATAAACGAGATTTTACTTTTTTATTTTTTTAAGCTGTTAGACCAAGTGGAGTGGTTCGAGAGTCTAAATGTCAAAAATCGACTCCGTCCATATGAAAACAGTGAATAGTAAGTTTTATTAATGAACGCGTCTCATTATTAATAACTATCATCGATGAACTGGATATATTCCTCGATTGAGTAATCGAGAGGAAGATAGTTAAAGATAAAACCGGGATCGACGAATATTTCATTAAGTGGATAAAGGCAAAACCAAGATGGAAGAGTTTTACTCCTCATTTGTAGACTAAACATGATAAAAATATAAAGAAACAACTATTCTAGACTGAGCTTAAAAGTATATGTGAATTGGTGATCTAAGTGTGAACGAAAGGGGGTGTATTTATAAGATTTTGGGGATGTAATTCGGGTACCTGATCGGGTATATACACAGTACCCGACCGGGTATGTGTAAAACATCATATTCGAGGTATACTCGATCGAATTCAAGGTTAAGATCGAAGGCATATCCGATTGGGTGTGTCGGTGTACCCGATCGGGTATAGACACTTGATCGTGGTCAAGATCTTCCCTGCATGTTCCTTTGTCTTCGGATCCGATCTGATTTGAAATTTCAACAAGATACCCGATCGGGTATAGATCATACCCGACCGGGTATAGACAAAAAATCAGGACCTTCATTTTGTCTTGTGCTTTTACTTTACACTTTCCTTCCACTTTTGGGGTTCACAAACTGTCCTTTGAGTGATCATAGGCCTGTTGGAGCTCAGAATAAACTTAATCTAAACAATTTATAAGTATTTAACAAACTATTTTATTAGACCAAAATTGTGTAATTTCCAAAGTAACAATCAATCAAAACTAATTAAAAACATAAACATAAACATGGAAATTATATGTTTATCTTCCTCCTTCGCTTCGCAGAAGCGAACGATCCGGCTTCGCACTAAGTTTCGCACTAGCTTCGCCGATGTGCTTGCCTCTTCGATCTGGCTTCCCACATGGTTGACTGTTGCCAACAATCATCACTCTTCCTCTTCTCATCCAGCTCTTTGCCCGTTGCCGCCGCTTACCGCTCATCCCCCTTCTCCTCAGGCACGGACGCAACAAATCCTCTGGCGTAGTTACTTCTCCTCACTCTGTCTTTCTTTTCACTCATTTTCTTTCTCTTTTTCTCACACAGTTTTGTTGTTTGAGATTGTGTTTTTGGAAGATGAAGAAAACCTAATGGTTGATGAGAAATCCTTATTGTTATTGATCTAAAATGAGTTTTATATTAAACTGAAATGAGTATATGCATAAAAGAAATGAGCATACACAACTAAATACTAAGC